TAATTGACACGATTGACATGAATATTTTTAGAAAAAAAATGTATTTGATATTGCACGATAAGGAGCAACGATATATATCGAACGTCCTTTGTGTCCTCCTGACAGCTGGTGCAAACGCAATTGGCGTCGTCCCCCGACGCCGGTGTCTTCCTGGCCGACGAGGCCATGGACGGTTCCGGAAGCGGAGACAGACCGGTTTGGCCGCACGGTAACAGGGAGATTGACGACGACGAGGACGGTCACGATGACGATCACGACGACGACGAGGCGTCCGGCTCCGGAATGGGTCCGACTACGTCAGGTATTGTATACTATATCTCGCATTTCATTTGCATCTCGATAATATCCGGCCCGATATACGAATATTCCGCTCGAAACTCCATTGCCGGATGAATCCTCTGTATACGGATTCGCGTAACGGAGCTTCGTCCTCGAGGGAATTTCCTCTATACAGTGCGGCATCGAATGGGGTATTGTCCGAGAATATATAGTATGTATCGTTCGAACGAAAGGAGCCTCTTTCGAGCGAAAAATATACAGCGGAAGGATGGATTAATCCATTTGTGTTGATCAAAATTTCAATTCTCAAATTTTTAATGTAAATTATACGGCTGCGATGCGTTAAATATTCACGGTATTCCCGGTAGAATTATAGTCCATTAATTAATTCCATCAAATAAATTCTGTGCCATAGATCACTGCATATTATTATCCGCGAGAATATATGTTGCATTTAAATATTAGATAAAACGAGTGAGATAAAACTGATAAATGTAGGTCACTTTTGCAAAATTGATACGCATTATGGAGTATAAATAAGACCGTATTTTTTTTTTATTTTCGTTGCAAATTAAAAGAAGGCTCGTTTCGTTTCGTCGAAGAATTATTTCGTTAAGGCTTCCTGGATCTTCGCCGCGAGCGAGAAAGCACACGTTAAAAATTCTTAGATACACTGACAAAAATTTATTGAATTATTAATTTATTAAATTAATTATATTGATTTGATGTGAAAAATATTTATTTTTGATATAAGAAAATCCTTTTCGAAACAAGTAAATATTTATCTGTTTCACATAAATGATTTATTAGGCAGTGAAATAAATATTAATATTATAATTTTTTTTCAGTGTACCATTTTTAAATGAAAAAAAAATTCCGATGAAACACTATTTCAGATGGCTTTTAGCACGCTTTTAAAATATCTCGGACACAATATTTTTCCTTCGAATCTGCTATCACGATCATTTTACGATTGTTGATGGATTATAAAGGGAAGAAGATATAGTATCTGAAATGCTGTTTCTTTTTATTTATCGAAACAACATCTAAGAATTTTTAGCGTGTGTTCTCTCGCCTCCGACATCACAATCCAATATGGCCGCGGCGAGGATCCAGCAGCCTTAAGAATTATAATCATATTTGCATACTTATCTTCGTTTCAGATCCGTCGACGAAAACTAATCAGAACGGTCCGAACAGCGGCTCCAGATCGTCGATCTTGCTATCAATCGTCCTCGCTGTTGTTTGCGCATCGCTTATCGCTTAATCGGCCACATCGCTGAGAAACGTGAGGTCGGAAGAAGGGACGATTTCCATCGTTTTTCCACCCTCCGGGATAGAGCCAACGCGTATAGACGAGAGATACGTAGATAAGGAAAGATAGAAGTAGGAATCTTAGCGCGATCGGCAAGAGATCGTTAGCGGATCGAACCGATCCGTTTCACGCGGACGACTCTTCCGACGTGTGCGCCGACAGGAGGAGAGATTCAATGCCCGCCGGAATCGTATATATATATTGATAATTTATCGGTGGCGCGTTGGGCGAAGCGAAGCGTACCGTTCCCGCCGAGGAAGGACCTGGCGATTTTCAATGATATATCGACACGCGGGGAGCGAGAGAGATAGATTGTAATAAAGTATACGAGAGAGAGAGAGAGAGGGTAGGATAAAAAAAAGCAAAACGGCAAAACTGAAAGGAAATGGGAAGCAGGGCGAGTCCGCGTCTGGGACGTCGCGCTTGTAAAACGCGATGATAAATCTCGAGACGCTTTCGAGATGAAATTTTTCGGCAAAAAATTCCTAGTTCCTCATACATATAAAAATATATATATATATATATAAATCCGATACCGCGTGGAACTGAAACGTGTAATGTTCTCCCTCTGTGGAATTGGAAATTTATGGTTCTAAAATTTAAATGGGATTTTTCTCCAGAATTTATATATTCAAAAAGAAACTCGCGGTCCTTTTTACATCTGGATATGTATATAACATACATTGATTTTACAACGATGATGAATATTTATTCTTCCTAGTTGAAGGAACAAGGTCGCGCATTGGTCGTTTCAGTCCGCAGAGTATCGAGACCCAGTGATTGAGAATCGTTATCTTCGCGGCTTGAACCTGAAAGGTCGAGAGGAATGCAGGTCAGTATTCTCTCTACTATTACGTGTTTTTTTTTTTTTCGCGGCAAATTCTCCAGAAGAAATTTACGATTTTATTTTGCATGCGAACAAAATACGATCGTGAGCCAAAGTTAGCGAAAAATTATCGTTGCTCGAGAAAGGATTCTCGTTCTCCCGAGAAACTGCTGCGAATCGCGTGCAATAATTTGGTGAAAGACAAAGCGAAAGAGGTGATCGAGGGTGCGGAGACACATCCAAGTTTAGGAACGCCAAGCGCGTCTAATATTTGACCGATTTGACTTTGCTCTCTCGCGACGAAAAATTATTCCGCGTCAAACGGAGAATTTTTCCGGTCTACGCTAACGTTACGTAAGAACCTGTGCATCGCGAGCGGCCATCGATCGTCGGGTCCAGGAGGGACAAAACTCCCGATCCGAAGGTCGACGAGTCTCGCTGTCCGTTTATCTTTCGCGAGAGGGAAAAAGTATGTCGCGCGCCGCTCTGAGAAATGGCTCTTCTCGAGGTACGTTGTCTCTTCTCTGTCACATTGGCTGTATATTTCGTTAGTTGCGAATTAACGTATGGGATTTGCTAACAAAGCGTCTAGAAAAGACTTTAATAATTGCGTGGAAAGAGAGAGAGAAGAGAGCTGATAGTGCACCGATAACTCGGATAGATAACTGGTGACAAACTCCACATTCTTGCCTCTACGTAGGGCAAAATTGTCGTTATATGTCAGAATTTAACTAGACGTTTCGACTCAAAACGGCATTTGTAAGAATATTTTATTCGGGATTTACAAAAATCTTACATCTTATCCTAAGTCATTAATTTTAAAAGTTAAAAAAAAAGGCATTTGAAACGCGCTCAAAATTATCGATTAGATGTTTCCACGAATCTTAATTTATTGCAAAATTAATATTTTTTGTTATTTGTACATATATTCTGTTTTATATATATTTTCACGTTTTCTTGTCGAAATATCTGTGATTCGAAATTATTAAATTATATAAAGTCCAGATTCGCGATCGCTTTAGGTGCCGAATATCATGATGTATACATATTGTACATGGAAACGAAAGTATTTTACCTTCACTCGCTCTGTCTACGACTCGCGCGAGAAGTCGTATACGCAAATATATCTCGTTATATATTCTCAAAGCGATCGGCCGCGAATCGCGCGCCGACCAAACGGCAGTCACGTTAATAATAAACGCGCGGGTGTATTTTCTCGCGTACACCGCGAGTTTTCTGTAGCATATAAAGCAGGGAAAAGTGTCTTTTTCGCCCGCTTCGCGGCGGACGTCTCGTCGTCGATAATTACAACAGATTATTATTATTATTATTATTATTAAATAAATTAAATATGACAAAGAGGGGGGAGGCCATATATTGTCACCCAAAACGTGTCGGTGAAAATATACGCACATATATATGCCATATATAAATATATACATTATATACGTACGAAAGTTAACTGCCAAAATTCCAGTTATATCGAGAGCTGATTTTTACTCGAGACGATGTGATTAATTATTATTATTATTATTCGCTGTGCGAACCTTGAAGATTCTTGCATGCTAGGCTGCGTACATTACTCTTCTGTGATTTATCTTTCACTTTTCCTTCCTAGAAAAAAAGAGGCCTTTTTAACGCAGCAGACAGATTTGTTGAAAAGAAAAATAAAAAACGCGACTCGTTCCCACTGAAATATTTTTAGTAGATATTACTCGTAATTACCGTAAATTATACGTCATTTTAGATCAGTAGTTGATAATGATCTTTCGAAAAATTGACGATATCGTGGATCATTCGACATTGCATAAAAAATATTTATATATTTCTCTTTCATTACTTCTATATACATATGTTATTTCTTATTTATTTCTTACTCTGAATTATTTTACGAGTTGGAGGAAATTAAATTTTCTACCGATTTTACTAATTATATAATCGAGCATTTTTTAGCTTATATAACTTATATACATTTTTCACAACAGCATTAAATTAGATGATGTAATCACATTTATTAAATACAGGATATCTAAAAAAAGATATCTATTGAATCATTTAGAGCTGATTGAGATAAGCATGCTCGATCGATCGATCGTTAAGTAATAATGTTCTTTTTCATCGTGTGAAAAGATGTCATTATTTAGGTATTTTCGCAAATTTCGCCAACGTTGTTGACTAATTGCAAAATAAGCAACGTGCCAAATCGAATTAACGCTCCCCTCTTTTTGCGCTTCAATTCTAACGCACAAATTAACTAGAAATAATTAATGAGAGCGCAAACACAACCGTGGCGAATATTGCAATCTTGATACTTCGAATCAGAATATTACGTTAAGTTTTTAAACAAAATAGGAAGAAATGAATTGACATTTTTACTTTTACTTTGATATTTTGGGAAATACTTTTAACTTCAGATTTTTTACATCTTCGTGTTGCGGATTTTTTGATCGAATAATTCCATGATTAATTCGACGATAATTCTAGATTAAGATTGTCGTCGATGATCCACGATCGCGTTTCCGGTAAATAAAATATTTGAGATGCTATTTTTTTTTTTTTTTAACAGAGCGTTCCATGACTTGGCGCAAGATCTTTTTTGGATCGATATCCTGATTGTTCTTATATAGCGAAGCTATGTATTAATTAACCGAATTGTATCTGATTATTAAGATTAGAGGTATAGACTCGCACATTTTAACAATTTGACAAAAAGAGTCGAAGGAACGAACTATTTCCACTGTGTTATATATATACGCGAAACCGAGGAACTTTTGACGTTCTCGTCTCATAAACTTGTGACACTCGAATCTGGCGGTTTGCTTTTTCAATCAATCAGAATGCTTTCGAGACTCCGAGATATAATTGCATATTTTCCAAATTCTAACATAATATTAATTAGATTATTAAAAAATGATGGTCAAAAAGCGATTTTGTCAGCTTTTATTTTATATATTATTTTAAATTATCTGAAATCAACTCTGTTAATTTTATATACATAAAATTGTTTTTTTGCGAAGATAAAGAAAAGTGATTTATTTGATACAATGGTAAACATTATTTTTATAATTTTTTCTGGCAAGATACGAGATATATACGATTACGATGTCGCTCTCGAATGTTCTGATTGACTCTGTGTACGAAAGTAAATGATAGTTAGCGACAAACAAGACACCTTGTTGGTTTTTTCGAGAGAAGGCGCGAGTCGCGACGCTTCGGCGACGCCGTATTCGTTTTGTATATTTGATTTTCGGATATCTTTGAGGATGAGTGAGTGCCTTTCTGAATATCCCTGGCCGTAGCGTCGCCTCGTCGCTCTTTGAATGAAAGAGAGAGAGAGAGAGAAATAGAATAATCCAAGTGGCCACCCGCGCGAATAAGGGTGCGGAACCGAGCTCTTTCTCGCTATATCGTACATATGTATTGTGTGAAAAAATATATAATATATATATATATATATATAAAGATATATATATATATTATATATATATAAGATGACCTTTCTCTTCTCCTTTTGTAATTTCTTCCATCGTATATACTCGCCTCCAACGTTTCTACGTGCGCTCTTTGAAGACATCTAAAGGTTTTGTAAACATTTATACGACATTGTGTTGAGATAAGACACTGCGTGGGCGATAGAGCGGATGGTTCGAGTTAAAATAAGTGCGATTGAAATTAAGAAAAGTGTACTGCGGCTGCGAGATGTGCTTGAATCATTCGACGACCGTGATCGTTACCGATTTGACGATTAATATAGGGTCGATCTCTCGATGACGTTTAAAAGTGTTCAACACATTTATTTCGAACGGTCTTATTTTAGAAATTATTTTCAGAAAATTTCTATTAAAGATTTACCAGTCGCCTTCATTTCGAAATATATTCTGCGACGTGAGATGTAGAAACCTTTATATGGTTCAAAATTGTTTCAGGATTCCACATCGCAAAATATATCGCAAAACGAAGGTGAAGTGTTGCCTTTTGTGGATACGTACTATTACATATTTGTATGCGAAACTCTCAAAGTATTACGTCGAAGCAATATTCTTTTCTCAAAGATCTCAAAATTGAATATTAAGTCTCTCTAGGTAAAAATAAAGAAAGAATATATATATATATATACGACATATAACGCGATATGTAATTTAAGAATCTAGACGAAGGAAGATACGCGTCATCGTCGAATCGTTGGTAGCGAGGGAAATTTAGGACATTTAAATTCGTTTTAAAGCTTCGAACTCCTCGCTGACCATGTTAAAATTTTGACGTCAGAGACGAAAAAACCCACGCTAAAAATTCTTAGACGCTATTTTGAAAGAAAAAGATATTTCGATGAAAGAGCACTTCAGATGGCTTTTAAAATATCTATTCGTTTCCCTTTATAATCAATCAACAGCTGTAAAATGATTGTAATATGAGGCCCAGTCCGTCTCCTCTTTGCACATGCGCAATCATTCCGCATGGCAAAGTCTGACATCACGATTTAATCATCCTTTTACGGTTGTTGATCGACTGTCAAAGGAAAAAAATAGTTTTCCAAGTATTTTAAAAGTGTGCTAAAGCCATATGAGATATCTTTTCGTTAAAAAATGACATCTACGAATTTTCTGCGCGTGCTTTCTCGCTTCTGCCGTCACAATCCAACATAAGGCTACGATAAGGATCCAGGAGCGCAAAAATGACGATCCAATTGGAATCACTTAGATCCATTGATTCGATGAACAACGGCCCGTGACGAAGCCCGATTCACTCTCTCGGACTCGCCATTGTCCGAGAGATCTTCTTCCTTTCAGAGCACTAATAAGATCGAAATCCGGTGAGAGAACAAACCGAGAGGGAGAAAGATAAAGAGAGGCTCACCGGGCGTCCGGCGATGTTCGCCGCAAAGAGCCCCTAATTCGGCGTGGGCCAGGCGCGCAATTGTTCGAGTTTACCGTCGTAATTTTCGTCAATTTCGTAGTCGGCTCTTTGTCGGCCATATTTAGGCTGCGCATTCAGACGAATCTCTTCGAACGCGTCTTGGAGCTTTCGGATGCTGATGCGTATCGGTTTCGCGTGACGTAATCATAGAGAATTTTCTCTTGGAATTTACCCTGAAAATTCATGGTAATCGTAGAACAATATGGTATTGGAAGAGTTTTTATTTTATGCATTCTTACATTAATCAAAATATTAATACCTACCATAGTAAAATATAAAATATGTTCGATTAATGTATGTACATGTTAATATATTAAAATTAATAATGGCAAAAAAATTGGAGGGTAAATTCTAGGAGAAAATTCTCCGTTTATATACGATCTCGATCCAGGTACAGGTATTAATTAATTTCGTCGTGGCGAACGATAATTCGTTGTATTTCGAATCGCTCGAAGAATTCAGACAGCACGACGCAAATTATCGTCCCAATTATTGTTTTATTTCGTTAGTATTATTATTCCAAATTGTCAAATTGTCGAGAGGACAATTCGTCGCATAAAATTACGTCCTAAGAATTGTTCGAGTCATTAACATAATCGGGTAATTAGAATTTATAAGACTGAAAATGTGCGTGGGAGAGTAATGATGAAATGACTTTAATTTTTAATGACTAATTTAATACCGATCCGCTCTTTCGCCAAAATTCGCGAGATTGAAAAATCGCGAATATAAGAAAATAAGAAAAATGCGAGAAATAATGCTTTAGAGACAAAAGCAAGAGTTATACGATGCAAGAAAAGAGAAATGAGAATGAGATAAAGAGAGCGAAAAAGAAGGTCGAAACACGATGATCGATCTGTAAATAAACGAATGCCTGCTGTATTTATATAGTTATATATATACGTTATAAAAATATCGACCTAAATGAAAGTAGCAGCTAATGAAGCAACTAAAGTATAATTATCGACCGAAATAATCGTTAATTATAATGTTAAAGCGAGTCTAATTATATTAATGATATGCGTAAAGAAAACATATGCGAAGATGCGAACGCGGAAGAAAGCTCGAGTAATCGGATAGGGAGCGGAAAAGTGTTTTTTCCCCCTTTTTTTTCTTTCATCGATGTATGCGTATCGCATCTCTCGTTGTTATTGCCATTTGCCTCGGTAGCGAAGCGATTTGTCCTCTTATCAGCGGTTTTCTTCGTTTATATCTTGCGAGAGTGATTGCGGGAAACGAGAGACGGACGAAATATATATATATATAATACACGAGAACAAACTTATAATCGTTCGCAATCGAAATCGCTTTGTAATTATACCTATGTAATTAGGAATGAGAGAGAGAGAGAAGAGAAAACGCGTGTATGTGTGTGTATATGTGCGAGGGAGTTTGTTTTCGATTACAGCTGCACTGTAAAAAAAATGTATGTAATATATATTACATAAAAATGTGTAAAATTACATAAATAAATGTACGCAATTGTTATGTAATTTTACATATTTTTTTTACAGTGTGTATAACAATTATTAGTCTAGCATGGTGCATATTTTATCGTAAAAACGTACTAACAGGAGTATCCGTTGTTTTTTTTACGGAACACTATTGCGTTACACACTTTAGCTATTTAATGCGTCTTGCAATATTTATTGTTGCGCCTTGCGTTTACTATGTGATATAGGGCTACTTATATTATTATCTTCGTTATTGTCGCGTTCTTCTTGCTCGAAATGTTTCATTAATCGCGCATTTCCCTAACGTCGTCGCGTCGCGTCGGAGCGAAATGAAGGAAATCAGCTGTTCGCGTCGTCTGCTCGATCGATTCGATTTGTTATTTAATTGCGATCATCCGACCTGATTATATAAACTCCGTCGCGCTTGATAACGTTAATTGTGCAAACAGTCGCGATTGTAATCGATTGATTTTCTCTTTCAATGTGATGATTCCATTACTCTCTATCAGTTTGTAATAAAAAAATAACTTCGCCTATATATTTCTGAATTCTAAATTCTGCGATAATTCGACATTTTTTTATCCGTCAAAATAAAAATAAAAAAAAAAAAAAAAATGAAATGAACAAACTAACGAAAAATTCAAGCTGTGAAAGTAATTCCCCCCTCTTTCCTCTACTTTTAAAGAAGTAATTTCGATTCCGTTAGAAAATGTCACTGTGTATTAAAAATAGTTTTGATCACACAAGCACATCCTCGATTTAATCACTAACCCAAATTGAACGAGAAAGCGTTATAGTAAAGTGAGCGTAAGTAAAAAAAAAAAAAAAAAGATGTGTAGCAGAGAGAGAGAGGGAAAAGAATGCGAACGATGTTCGTGAGTAATCTGTACATGTATATACATGTGTCTGCGCGTACATTCGTGCGTCTGTGTGCGCATTCTTATATATACATACATCTACGCACGCGCGCGTTATTATAAGTGTTATACGCGAGAGAGATTAAACAAATTATTATTAAATATTATCGCGGTTGATTACGATTCGCGACGATCTGTAAAAACTGTTTACGAGTGAATGGCGAATAAAATATTATACAACAACGTGAAAGCTTGTCTGTATGCTTGAAATGCATCCTGAGATAAACAACTGTAAAAGATGAGTAACATTATTATCAAGATAATTATCTTTTGTGATTTTTAAGAGGACGGTAAATCATTTTATATCGACGACAAAATCGTAACAATGTCACGATTAATTTAGGAGAAAGTAATCGCTTATACAGATTATGTATATCAAATTGTAAAGCAATGAGTAATTATTGTAATATTTTTTAAGTACCTAAAAAGAATTCTTATTGTCTTAGAAGGATTTTGTTTTATTATCGCGAAGATCAATAGAAGCGCAATTCAATAACTCATTCACTTTTCATCGTAATGATTTATTGCTGATGTTATACTTACAATAACTTCTGCATTTTCACGTAATGCGTACAATATAAATATCTGTGACATGACAAAAATCAATATACGTCATTTTTAGGGAATCTTTTGCCATCGCAGTACGGTGTTTATAAAGTACGACTTATTGTCGTCGTAGTATGAACTTGAACGATGAGATGTACTCTATTTCTTTTTCATGTTCGGCTCTGAATTTTTAAAATCATTTTAAAATCATATTTTTTTCATATATACTTATATGACAAATGGAGAAATCTGTGTACGAAATTCTTAAATACTTTATGTACAAAGTGTTAGTTTTGTTTTGGCAAAGTATAAAAGTCTTAATTATTATATTCTAGAGAAGACATTCTCTTTGGAATCCGTTCAAGAAATTTGAAATTGTATGTCTGATTGGGTTAGAGTTTCTACTTCTTTAAACTTGGCGAAAAAGTCCTTGTTTACGATATTTGACTCTATATCGCATAATTAATTATTGGCTAAATCCGACATTCGAGAAACAATGTCGCCGCAAGTTCATATAAAATTGTCGTCTTCTGAACATTAGTTTATTCGATTAACTTTCACGTTTCTTTAGATTTCAGTTTACTTTACCTTTTTTCCCCGAAAGCTCGGTTGCTTTCTTTGGTGAACAACGTCCTCTCTCAGCTTGACGAATGTCATTGTCAGAAATCTATTCTATTCTCCATCGTCCGATAATAAGGCCGACACATCGTCAATTCTACTCTCAACTGAATTAATCTTTTCCGTTCACTCTTCCGGGAACATCATCATGAATAATACATCATCCTTTTATAAGGAAACTATTGCGCGATACTTGCGCAAGAGTTGTCGTGCTCGCATTTTCGAACACATTGGAGGAACGTACTTAAAAGCTTGATCAAGTTTTCAATACCTTCCAAATAATTTAGATCCAAATTAGAGTCGTCCGCGGGGAAGACATGCGTAAAATCGATCATGTTCACTCTGACCCAATTGCACTTGTTTTCTAAGTTGCTAATATCGTTAAGCGTGATGTTATTCGTGCATGGAAGCAAGAATTGGCTCGGGCAGGAACGACACAGACGGTCTATTTTGGAATCTGGATTATAAATTTCGCTCCGATTCAATATTTGCTCGCATACTGGTTCGCTGAGACTTGTGCTCCTTTTGAGTATTGGTCTACTTCTCTGTTCCTCTACCCAATTTCTTTTCACCCTTGCATTGGAAACGGTCGCGGTGGTCAACGTGACCTGCTCGGATACATTCACGTCTGAAGTGGTGTGACTCGTCGACGGAGAGAAGGCAGCTTTAGCTCTGGAATCCATCTGATTGTTGGCATCTTCGTTATCAGAATGACAACACTGTCGTAATTTTCGAGCGTCGTAGGCGACCAAGAGTGAACTGGAGTAGAAGCGATACTTGTGCTGTATGCGGAAGAACAGCATGATTTTTCCCAGGAATGACAGGAGTTCGAAGATCAACTGCCGACAGGCTGGCCTCTCAGGTGTTATGTTCAAGAAAGTTTTCAGTGCTGCGAGAGGACAAGAAGAAGACTTTTAACGCGGTTTTAAAAGATATAAAACTTAACAAAGTCTTATCACTAAATCATAAAACATCGCAAAGATTTTTCTTTTCGTTAATGCGCTCAAGCTAACGTCTAATTCATTATTAATTCTGGAACGTTGACGTGGAATTATTATCGCTTGTAATAATAGGATTTAAACAATAACAATAAGGAAAACAGAATGCGTGTAATTATGTGAAATTTTTAAGATATAACATAATTGCTAATAGTTCCTAGTTCAAGGTTCCAGAGTTAAAATTCGTTTCATTGGTACTTCCAAATTGAAAAGTACACAAATTTTGATTTCCGATCGATCACCAGTGAGTTAAGGGACTTAGCCTTAGCCATACTCGAATCGGAGGCGGACAACGTGCTATCTCGGTTATTTAAGAAAACTCACTACTCCCTACGTCCTGAAATAGACTTTTAGTATTCGTAAATCTTGGATTCATTTGCATCGGGTGACAGTTATTCTTTTTTTTTTCTTATCGACTTTGTATGTCTCCTAAAACTCTAAAGCAGATACCTTCTACGACGCCCTTGGCATCAAGTTTCTTGCCATAATCTCTGTCAAATTTTTTTAATCGTCCAGTGGAGAGACAATATACTTGAAAACCGGTTATACAAAAACCATAAGCACGCTTCGATTCGGCATACTTGAGTTCTTCCGTTGCCCTCTTCTCTGGCGTGGCTAAAGGATCCCACGTACGACGGCCAATCTTGATATCCATCACACATGGCTCTGCCATGCCCTCCGTGATATCCCTAAGCTTGAGAAACTTCGTACCTGTCATCAAACAAACTGATTAGTGTAACGCAATCGAATGTATCTAGATATCAAAAGATAAAAAAATGTGCGTAATTAATTAATATTATATTTATAACAGTAAATTTCAATTAATTCTTATATTGTAACATTTGGTGCCTATATGCACATATAAGTTATATAAGTTTTGTAACATTTACATTACATAAATTATATATAAAAAAACTTTAAGAGAGAAAAAGCTAAAGTTATTTCATTTTAGTCAGCATAATCAACAAAGGATATTGCATCGTTTCTCGAGTGTAGAAAAGTCCTTACGTTTGTTAAAGACTCGTAGTTCCGTCGTGCCAAAATAACATGGAACGAATTTTTTTAGTTGCACTATCGTGGAATCGTGGGAATTCTTCAACTTCTCGTAGAATGCAATTTCTCTTTCCCGAGGATCGCTTTGGTCGCCGGTTTCAGTACATATCCAGTCCGTCTGCATACCAACATGCCTGTAAAAGCGTCCACAATCCTTTGTAAATTTATCTAGCATACATACATACATGCATACATACATATATGTACACACACACACACACACACCATCCATAAATGTGCAATGTATTTGCAATTACAATTCAGCCGATATAAAATAATAATGCATCTATCTCTTGATATATATATCTATGTTTTATTTTTCAAGTGGTTTTAACAGTAATATCTAGGAATATATAGAACGACCTTGTATTACATTTTTCAACTCAACGTGTAGAAAAAAAACGCGATAAAAAATTAGAATCATCGCTAGTATCTAAACAAGAGTACATAAAACAGCTGGCTGTGACCAATATTCTGAATTTTTCTTGAATATTCAAACATTATTTTACATAACGCGTATATTTATTTCCTATTATTTTACCTATATTTCCATAAAAAAGGGAAAAAGTTTTGTATTTTATTTTTTTTTTTATATTTCAATTTTAAATGAAAATTGAAAATATTTAAAATATCAAAAAACTTGATTTAGAATCTTCTTAAGATTCTTAAAAACACATGTTTTCTTTCTCTTTCCTTAAAAAAAATATATTTAATATTTATATAAATAATATATATAAATTTTATAAAATATATAGTTTTATATAATATATATTATTTATATATTTATATTAATTTACTATATAATTATACGTAATAAATGAATATTACATAAAATGAGATAAAATATAAATAAATGTATTATTTAATCAATAAAAATTGGCGATTCCTCGCTTACCAATAGTGTGCCTGTCGCCATCAAAGGGATGACCGGCCATTTGACATTCCAGAGGATTCAGTCCGTCCGGAAACGTACAGCCGGGTGATCCGGAGGTCGTCCTCTCCCATTCCACGTGTGGCAGCTTATCGAGATGACCCTCATCTGATTCTAGGGTCGTCATAATTAATAGCTGATGTGCGGCAACAATTACCTCTGCAATTAAACAGTCGCGCGTTTCTCGTAGATCACGTCGGGGACACTTTCGTTAAACGCGCGTATTCTGACAACAAAATAAATATGCGAGAATAATCTATGTGTGTGACATTCCTAGCTCTGTCAACATGTTAGTTTAATATTTATATATATATATTTTTTTTTTTTTCGTAACCCGTGTCTTTGGCGATACATAAAAGAGAAAGAAACGCGAAGAGATCGAGCTGACGTCTTTTAGCGTATCGTCAATTACAATTGGAAAATTAAATATTTGTTTCGAAATTAACACGGATTCAATTATTGTGGATTTGATGTTTTCGCGTGTCGCAACTCGGAACGTCTGTTCTCTTTAATCTCCGTTCAATCTCTTCTGCGAATTTATTCTTTTTCTTCTATCTTCCTGTTATCTCTTTATCTATTATCCGTTTCTTATCCTAATATAAACTTTACGCAACGATGGCAATTATCACGAAGATATCGGCGAATGCAAATAACAATGGAGGAAACTCGCACAATGAATCTCATTGTTAGACATTCTTTGTGTCGAAGATCCATCGCGAATACGATTTGTCTTTCGTTTTTCAAAGACTTGTTTAATATATATATAGTATATATATATATATATATATATGTATATATATATATAAAATATATTATATAATATAGATATATATTATAAATATATTTTATCTCGCGTTTGATGACGCGGATTGAATTTTCGCGCTTTTTCATGCCGGCAAGATTCCATAATAAAGTTTGTTTTTCGATGAAAAGCAATTTTCGAGGAATTGTTGATATATGAAAAGCGATAGATTGCGAGTGACGATAATTCGGATTAATCCGAGATAAGCCGAGGCTTATCGCGAATATTACGAGAGAAGCTCGCGGATGTCTTGAAAGCTTCTCAGACGAATCGCGCAAATTTTGCTTTACATGAAGGAAAAAAAAAAAGAAATCGCTCCTAACCTCACTCCTTGTTCCTCTTTCGCTCTCTCTCTCTCTCTCTTTCTCTCACTCTACTCGCTCGCGTGTTCGTTCCGCATGAAAATAACAAAAGATCGATATATTAACCGTACACATATATATATATTTCTTTCTTTCTTCCTCTCTCTCTCTCTCTCTTTTCAACTCAGAAACTCGGTTATTACCCCGATCTTACGCGCGCGTTATTATAACCTATACGACGATTGCGATGATAAGGCGAAAATGCACGGCGTTCACACATAGACAGGGCGTATCTCTTCTCCGATTAGCAAAAATACCGTTCACGCTAGATCGACTACGTTTGCCAAAGTTTCCGTTGCGTTGCGTTCGTCCGCCCTCGTCACGATACCATTCCGTTGTATGTGCTCCGCCGCCGTCAGAGCGCTCTGCTACGTCTGACAGCGTAGACCATAGACGTAATATTGAACATAGACGCGCGTGCCGAGTAGAAGAAACGTCATCCGCTCCGAACGGAGGAATCGCGCCAATCGGAAAGCGCGACTCTGTCGTGCAATTTTGGTTTCTCTTGTCCCGATTGGTCAACCGAGTAAAAGAAAAAGAAGAAAGGATTCAGTGCAAAAAGTGCAACTCGAAAGAAGTTTGAAAGTTCATAAAAGTTGGAATAAAAAGTATCGTATGTAAATATACGCACGTTACACTTTTGACTACAACTGTCATTATTAAATGTAATATTCAAGTTTTTGTTAAATTATAAATGTTCGTGCAAGATTTAAACCAGTTATTTTAGGTGATTAAATAATATTTAACGTACATTGTGCATTTGGATGAAAAATTGCGTATATTACTTCGAATTATTTTTATAATTGGAATATTTGAGGTATGTCAAATGTCATTTTATTGTAAAATTAATGCGGTTTTTTTATTATCACATATTGTCATATCTCATTAATACTTTTATCAATTACGTTTCATTAAAACCATCATTACATCATTATGCATTTAAAAAAGAAATTTAATAAGTATTGACAGAAATAGATTTTGATATATTAATTTATTAAAAAAAGAAATAAAGCCAATTCTTAAACTGTCCATTTCATACATCTCGTATCTAAGTGCGTACCTAGACACTTTGTACAACAATATCTGGCACCACAAGGTATGCACGTGTAATTACTTGGAAAACCACATACTGCACAAAAATGCCTCTCGGGAAATCGAGATGGTGGTACCTGAGCACAGGTATAATTTGGTGGATTAGGATTTATATTGAGATCTTCTTCGACAAGCTGAGCAAAAGTTTTGCGAAAGCGTTGCTTATAATATTCTGCAGAGCGGGTTTTCTTTTTTCTGCTGCCACCTCTATTGTCTAATGTTTCTTGAAATTTCGGAACTTTCTTGCTCATTACTGAAATAGGAAAATCAATTATAATATTATTCAGAAGATATTTGAGATAGATGTATTTTTTATGGCATACCTAAATCAGCATGTGGGTCATCGTGAAAATTATCTTGCTCCAGTGCTTCCAGAGCCTTCTTTTGCCTACGTTTACGTGCAGCATCATCGAGAACTCGTTTTTGAAACGCATCCTTTATTCTGCCAGATTCTCGAGCCATTTTTTAATTTACAGTATTACAAATCTTACAGAGCAAATATATATATCTTTGTTTATATTTATTTTTCCGCCAATGGGAATGATATCTGATCCATTAAATCATCCACTTTTGCTTGCAGAGTCTCTAATATATCAGCAGATATAAATAGATGTCTTTCATCCAGATCTTGAATTATAAACTTTCTTCCTAGTGCAGATGTTTCATCCAAATGTAGAAGGAACTGTTTCATAGCTGCATCACTAAATATCACACAATTTTGTTTAATCATTTAATGATCTTTGCTATATTTTAAATACACAGATACAAAATGTCCAAGAGAAAAGGGGTGTCTCTCGATGAGAAACGTTTAAGAATAATACAAATATTTCATGAGAAAAAGGAATTCTTTACGCTAAAAGAAATTGAAAAGATTGCATCAAAGGAAAAGAACATTGTGATACAATCTGTCCAAGATGTGTTACAAGCATTAGTGGATGATGGTTTAGTACAATCCGGCAAAGTTGGAACTAGCACATATTTTTGGAAATTTCCAGGGTAATATTTGGTGATAATTATATATTGTCAAAATATCATCTTATATCGTCAATTATATATTGTCTAAATCACAGGAAAGAAAATACATAAGAAATAATACTTTGCAGAGAATCTATTGCTGCAACAGAACGTAAAATAGCTGAAATGAGCAAAAAGATAGTAGAAGCAGAATTTAAGCTTCAAAAGCTGAAAGAAGAGGTACAGAAAGAGAAGGTAATACGAAAATCAAAATCATATATTTAATTTATTAAACTCGTCTAATATTTTTCTCAATTATTATTTATAATATATTTATGCAGGAATTTAAAAAGGATAATGAGGAGAAGAGAAATTTATTAGAGGAAGTGGATCGATTAAGGAAAGAGGAACAAGAAATTAAGAAGCAAATTGCTAAATTCAGCGTTATCAATCCAGAAGCAATTAAAGAGATAGAAGAGAAAGCACGGGTATGGCCAAGCATTACAAAAAATTTAATAAATCAAGCAGAGTATAATATAGGAAGAGCTAATAATTTTTTTTATAAATATAATGTAGATAAATATCAGAAAAGTAAAATGATTCTTACAATTTCAATAAAATGATTTATTACATCAAATATATTTGATTAATAAATTTCATAATAATTTTTTACTTTTAATAATTTATTTCTCTCTTTAGTATTAAGAGACAATTTTTATTAACATTCTTGTATTGTACTTAATGAAATACATAATACGTAATATTAAATTTTATTGAAATTGATAAAAAAAATTATTATTTTGCATATTTAGAAGAACAAAGATCTAGCCAACATATGGACAGACAACATTTTTGCGGTACAGAGCTGGTGCAAAAATAAATTTAGTATTTCTGAACAGGATCTTAATAAACAATTTAATATTCCCGAAGATTTGGATTACATAGAATAAATCATTGTTGTATGTATAATTTATTAACAAATTATTTCTTTTATGTAAATAAACTTACCATTCGACTAAAATGCCTTTTGTGACATTTACCATGTCTCGTGATTATCTTCTCTTTAAAAAAATAAAAGGCTTCTCGATGTATTTTTTAATATTTTCTTTTATTTTTAGCACATTAGATCTTCCTCGCACATTTGAAAAGACACTAGTATTCTTGAATCTTTGTCGGATAACCTAAGTAACCTAAGAACAAACAAATTTGCTAGAAAAGGAACACGATATAAAATGAGAGATATAACTTTCAGAGTCATCTATATCAATTTCCTTCGAACTTGCGGCGAACTAATCAGCTATCTTAATTTTTAATTAGAGAAGAAAGAGGGAAAAAATATACATACATTTCTATAATTTCCAATGTATTGAATTAAAACTATGTATGATATCGAAATAAATAGATAAATAGAATCATTTAGAACAAAGATGCAAAGGTCGGCCAATTTTCCGGCGCCATCTAGCGGTGACCGTTTCGTAATTTCGTCCTCGAGGAGCCATGCGTGCTTCGGTATTACGTCAGCCATTGGAATTATCTCGAATTCGGTTCACACTTGCGAAGCAGCCAGTGGCTCTACATCGATCGCGGCCAGTATTCACGGTCGGACGACGGTCAAACAAGCTTCGATTTTCCTGTGTGACAGGAGCGCTCGGTGAGTAGAACAATCACGCATTCACGCAGTGCATATCGAAGATAGACGAGCGTGTATTCTCTCCCAAATTTATCGCACCTATCCTTCGATGACCTTCCAGATCGTCACGCGAATTCTTGACATCATTTTGACATCAGAATGACGTCAAAGTGTCATTTGGTGTCAAAATACATCATTTTTACGTCAAAATGACGTAATTTGACAGCGAAATACGTCATTTTGATGTCAAAATGACGTACATTAATGTCAAAATCACTACCCTGCTATCTGGGATGTACCACGTGTTCACTCGCTCCCGCGTTAGCGAAATATGATCCGGGTCAATTTGGAAGATCGGAAATAGAATCACTGCGATCGGAAGTGACACGATTTCGAAAATGCTATTTCCTGAGAGGTAGAAGGAAAATTCGCGCGAGTGTCTTTTCTCTCTCTCGTCGCTCTCATTTCCATTCTCGTGCAAGCGCGTGAGACGAGAGCTTACGTAACCCATGTCTAACCCTGGCCCTGAGCCAGTGTTAGAATTATTAGAATATTCTAACCGATTATTCTTTTACGATCGTACAAAGTGTAGCTGTTCTTTTCAAAGTCGTCGCGGGAGAGGTCGAAAATTTGATCGTGATCGATTCAAATTTGAAGTTATCCCACTTCAAAAATGTTGATCTGTCAACTATCTATTAATATCTTTAATGTCAAATGGTGCTAATTGTGGTTACAGTCTGCTATCTATATAGATGATTTTGAACAAAAATTAGATATGAATTAATTGATGCTGATATGAATTAATTGATAAAATTGAACTCAAAGTTTAATCTTCACTTGTGCATATAATTTTTCTTTTTGGACGAATTTCCCTTTACACTATTTTCTTATCTGTTCTGATCTTAAATGAACTTGGATACGAGATGTCATTGATCACGTTTGATATCACGTGCTGGAAGCGCATTGCAAGTTTCTTTGATTTACAGTAGTTTATTCAGTGTAATCTTGGTATGATAATTGCGTGATTACATATCAATTAAACATTCCGCGAGCGTGACGTGTCTTCAAAATTTCCTGGTTGTGTCATACGTTGTGACGTATTAATATGACGAAAAAATTCCATTTCTTACATAATAAAAGAACTGACATATACACGTAATAATAAATTTATAAATAAATTTTAAGATATAAAAAAAGAGAAAGAGAAATAAATATTACATAATATTTTTATAGCAATATAAATATATACATATTTGGTACTTAAAATTATATAATGGTTTGTCATTATATAATTATATATATTATATTCATCGCACAAACTATTACAAAATGATTCAAAATTTATAAATATTTTTTAAATATTATAAATAAAATTTATCAGAGAATTAAAGGATCTAAGAGACTTTTATCTATCTGTATTTGAATTAGAAATATGTTCAGGAGTATATTTTCGTTCCATATTGACCAATGTTTGTGTATTTCGTATGTGTTGGCAAAAGCACATGAAATTGCAATAGAAAAAAATATTTTCTTGCTGGCGCCAATTTTTCGAAATCGCTCTTGCAAAACAACAGATCGTCATATCTATATATAATCATCATTTATCGATATCTTCTTGTTCTCTGAAAATTTAATTTGTAAATCAAATTTTAGTTTTATTTAACATATATATTTTATTCATGTATTATTTTTATATTCTTAAATGGAATTTCCATTAAACATTTATAATGATAAAATATTTAATAAAATATGTAGCAAATAAAAATGAATTTCTCTATTTTGCCAATATTACAATTTCTGAAAGTAACCAAACACTTTTTTTCCAGACTAGACAATTAAACAAATATGGGTGTTCCGGCAGGCGATCCAGAGAAAGGAAAGAAGGTAATGAGAACATATGTTAAATATTCATATTAAATTACACTCTGCGAGCATGCGATGTTAATGTGTTAGAAATAATGTAATGAATATAATGAATGATGTGTGATGAATAGTGGTTCTATAAATGATAATGTAATGTGATAAAGATATATATAATGATATATAAATGATAACTCATTGATACAACTGTGTATTTTGTTTTTCTAGCTTTTCATCCAAAGATGCGCACAGTGCCATACTGTCGAAGCAGGTGGCAAGCACAAAGTAGGTCCCAATTTGCATGGACTCATAGGTAGGAAAACTGGTCAAGCTGCAGGTTACTTATATACTGATGCCAACAAAGCGAAAGGTACATGTTTAGTAATTTATCAAAGTAATAAATAAAACAATAAATAGCATTTTTAATCAAGTGACAATTTATTACTTTGTTATCTATAATTCTAATTATCACTTATATTTAAAATATAAATGCATTATTGCATTCATATCTAATTTGTGTGTAAAATTATTTTTCAGGTATCACTTGGGGTAAGGATACGCTATTCGAGTACCTGGAAAACCCAAAGAAATACATTCCCGGCACGAAAATGGTGTTTGCCGGATTGAAGAAGCCGCAGGATCGGGGTGATCTTATCGCTTATCTCGAACAAGCGTGCAAATAGGTGCCCTATCCCTTTTCTCGCGTGCATGCCATCGATCGTGAAAATTGCGACGAACGCGAGCGAGCGAGCGCGAAATGCCAGGCATGGCACGTGGCGCGATATTAGTACGATTATCATCTCATCCAAACCCGTCATCTCACTCGTGTTCATCTCATGGACTCTCCTCTCGATGGTATTCAGAGCGTTTGCAATACCTGATCGAATAGTAATGAATTGTTATTGTAATTGTTGATATAAGTAGGTACTTCAAGTATGTAAATTAATGACACAGGGGTTCAGTACTGACCCTGCTTTTTTCTGTTTCTTCACCGAAGAGATATTATCAGGAAAGCTAATTCTCGCGCCATGCGATTGGTTGAGCCATTCTTTCGCATCCCGGGGATTTTCTGTGTCCCTAACTATTTATTCTCACCAACTGATTGTATCATTCAGCGAGTGTTGATATGTAAATCAAAGGCAGAATACAAACTAGGCAATTGAAAATTTATAATTGTGTCTTTTTTTGTCCGCCAGATTATTTTAAACGTTTAGAACAAATATGAGGGTTTACGAGACACCTAGCCGTCATTGATATGTTATGATTTTTAAATGTCGATTAAACAAAAGTTGAAAGTTGAGCATTTTATCGTATATTAGCACTTTCCTCCTATCTTATTGTTATTATTAGTATTTCCTTTATATTTAAGAAACTTTAGAATTGATAAAAGCTAGACAGGAAGGATGCGGTTAACAATCGACGGGAAGTATATGGTTCGCTTGAGGTTTTATTCGGTTCCCTGCTGAAATTTTATAGCAATTGTTCTCGGTCCATCGTTCTGATGCAAAGCGTTGCGCGTGCGATTCACATAATCAACTATTTCGAATGGTGTTGGAATGGATTTTAACGCATAATAATAATTACAGAATTTGAGATTTTAATTCTTATCTGTGATAACTATTTGTGACAAAAAAACTCAAAATAGATTTTTATTTCAAATACCTATGATTTATTATCTTAATTTTTATTTTTCAAATTCGCTTTTTTCTGTGACAGTGCCGAGTTTTGCGTGTATCGAAAAAAATACTTCAATTCTTTATAGATTTATATAAAGGATAAATTCTCATTTCTAATTCTTGAGTGTTCTTTTGCATAAAATATTAAAGTGCATTTGAATAAATTATGACGAGCAATTCAAAGTCGCCCGATCGAGCTCTTTCGAGCATCGATGGCAATTGTGTCGCAAGGTTCAAAGATAAAACGTCTCTGAGATTGCGATTAGGTCGCGTCTTCAGTTCTAACGCACTCAAGAGTCCGAAGAGCGTGTCGAGCTCGCGCGGCTCGAGTCCTAGTCCTAGTCACCGCAGTCCTCGCGCCGGGATGAGATACTCCTGGCAACCGGGAACCTCGGACGGCGAGGAGAATCGCTCACCGCGTTCGTTAGAGAGCGGAATTTCGACCTCTTCATCGTCGATCGGCATCAACGCGGCAAACTCGCCCAAAAGTCCGTCTACACCGAAAAGCCCCTGTTCCTCGATGTGGTGTCTCGCCGATAGGTAAGTTTGCTTATATTTGCGAAATTGACGCATTACGCTATAAATTGTCTATATATATATGTACATATACCTATATATTGAACATTAATAAAAATTTTATCTCTGTGGCCAATTAGCTGACAATGAGTTATAATTATCTATAATGCAAAATGGATATTTTCATCTCAAATGGTCTTCTTGTTAGGTCATTAACGCGTTGTAAATATATTTTATTAATAAATATAATAGCTTTTTTCAAAGGACTCTTAAAGTCTCCTTAGGGACATCTAAAGTTTTTTAAAAATTTCAACGAAATTAAATATATAAAAAACAATGTGTGTGTGTGTGTGTGTGTGTGGTGAAATTAAAATCCTTTCTCTTTTCCCTTTTTCGTTGAAAATGTATGAAACTAGCTCTTAATTAATCCATCCATCAGAAACAGTATTTACATTGTTAAAGTTTAGTCGTATACTATATGAAATTAATTAAATATAAAGAATTCTATATATACATTTTCTATTATTTAATCCCTCTTGGTTATTAACAAAATTTTCTTTTCTTTTTTTAATTAACTATAGGGTTTTCTTAAATAAATATTTGTCGAAAATATCCAAATCACTGGATTTATATTCTCTTTGTATTGAGATATTTATATTTCCTTCGTGATTATTTAAAACTGCATAATATTTATACACACGCGCGCGCTTATGAGTATAGACCTGTATTATGGATTATATTGCCCACTCTTTGATATTTATAACTCGAACATAAAATCGTACAACGAATAATCCCTTTTTTTTACTCTTTGTGGGCGTTTCGCTGACCTGGAATCATGGCGTTCGTCAAAGGGTAACTCGAACTATTTTTACCCCCGGCGGACGCTCGACACACACACATCTAATGAAAGATTATTCCCGCGGAACAGATAAAGGCACTTGCTGCTGTGTGTATGTACATTAGTAACGTTTGCACGGTGTTTGTAAAACACACTTTGTAAGCTGTCTAATCAGGCTTCGCGCTCTCTCTCTCTCGCTCTTTATTTTCTCTAATGTGGCCATATGATTCAAGCATCGCGCGATAACACGCGATCTTCGTATCGAACTAATCAAATTGAGAGCTATGTCTCTTTAATTGACGCAATTTCATCATCGGTGCAATTATTTTTCTAATATCGTAAGGTTTTTAAACAAATTAAACTTGTCAAAGTTTTCCAAGTACATAAATTAATCGAGAAAATTTTTTTTAAATTAACAGAACGAGACTAGTAGTTTCTCATAATTTTTGGATGCTGAATACGAATCCAATTTCTAAATTATTCTATCACGTCAGAATTTTTAATTAAAGTGGTATAAAAAAGCTTTTTTCACGAACTTTATTATATTATAGCCACAATATGACGTGCTAAAGAAGTTTTATTGCAATCTAAATAAAGTATATTGTTAGGACTTTCAACCCTCAAAAGGAATTTTTGATGTTTATGGTCAATAAGATATCCATTAAAGATTAAATGGGTGGACTTTGGTCATTGATGATCTACCGAATAAATTTCTATTATGTTTATTTAATCTTAGAGGTTTTTAGGTCACTGAATACGAATCCAGTGTCAAAATGGTCAAATTCAAAATAATGGACTCAATATGACAAATTTATAAAAAAAAAAAACATTATTTAATTGACATCCCTCATATTAAATACCATTTTGAATTTGACAATTTTGATATTGAATTCGTATTCAATGACTTAAAAATATTTAAAAGTTGTTTAGTAAATTTGTCAATGATCTAATTGTAAGTCACAGCTAACTTCCGCAATACAGCTCTCATATTTAATTATGGATATCTTATTAATCAAAACCGATATCAAAAATTCCTTTTGAAGATTAAGAGTCCTAACAACATAAAACTTTGCCAGCACGTTACATATTGTAGTTACAATATGACAAAGTTCGTGAAAATAGTCCTTTTTGCAATTTTAATGAAAAATTTCTCCAAATTGTGACGTGATGGAATAATTTAAAAACCAGATTCGTATTCAGTACCCAAAAAAACTATAAAAAACGAGTTTCACTTCGATTAATTTTTTTGTTAAACAGTATTATCAAAGAGCTGATTTTATTAAAACTGCTTGAAACTAAGTTAGAATTACTTGAAATTGGTATTCGAAAAACGCAGGAAAACTGGATCTTCTAGTGACGTAGAAGAAATATCTCTTACTTACGCGTATTAAATTCTTTCTCCGTGTATTCTCGCATTAGTATTCAAGTACTAAAAAAGGCATATTACATCATTGATTTCAAACATCGTTATCTAAGAGTTTGGTTTAAGCATTCTGACCGCGTTTTGTGGCTAACGTAACCGCGGAGTTTCATGCATAATCATGCGCGGTTTCCCGTATACGGGAAGAAGTCCAAGTACAGATGTATCGATCGGGATGGATACCTTGTTTGCGCCGAGTCGGAACGTCTGGTTGCTCCGTGTCACGGATAAACGAGGAGAAAAGTCAGAGATGATGGCCTTTGGCAAGTGCTCAAGGTACCTACCGATCAAAGTTTCGTCGTTGAAAACAGAATAGCCGGTGATCCAGAGATTATCTGAATAGAATTCGTGGAAAAATGTGTACGATCGTTTATACTGTGCGCTGTATTCTGAGTCACGTATAAAATGAGATTATCTTATCTATGCAAATGTAGAAGGTAATCGTTCGCATAAAGCAAATAATGAAACGACGAAAGGGTGATGAAATTTTATGGTTTCTTCAGTCAATTTTTTTCAAGCGGTTCAGTTTGATGCAAGAGATATTAAAAAATTGTCTTGTAAAAAAAATTATAAATGCTTTTATATTTTTGTAATCATATAACTATACATGGGCGTCCGCAGGATTTTTTCCAGAAGGAGGCATCATTAATATTTTTTTTTTTTTAATTTAAACAATTTTTTATTATTTTGTTTTATTTTCATTTTTTTATATTAAATAAATTTTAGTGTTTATTCAGAAAGAGAGCAAAAGTTTAATTTTTTTACTGATTCCAAGAGGGAGCATGTAACTATGTATATTTATGAAAATAAATGGAAAAATGTTTGAAATCAGAAATGCAGCTTCAAAAATCTGTCTTCTTATTTCTTTGAAAAGTATCGTTCTTATACGTCGCCTTTTCAATATAAATATGTTTCAAATGTTTGACCCAGTTCACAGGACGTGTCTGATAAGTTCTAAATAAGCAAAAAAGTGTCGTTGAGCACCCAATATTAAAAAAAATTAAACCAAAATTGCACAATAAAGACCACGTTGAGGATGTCGAAATTTTATAGCACACTTGAGTAATAAGACGAGACAATAAACGAAACGCGTTAGCACACAGAAAGTAGGGCAGATTTCGAAAAATTCAAGGATGAGGAAGAAAGAAGAGAGGCGAAGGAGGGCAAACAAACCTCGCGGTGGGTGTTTGAGCTTTTTCGTACATCATCGAAAAAGCATCTAACCGCGAGCCGGGTCGATGCAGCGCCGGCGCTGCGGAATGCGCGACCAACGAAGACGAGGGACCCCACCATCGTCGCGCACCGTCCGAACGATCGCGTCGACGTACAAGTGCCTCCGCCTCTCCCTGTCCTCGGTTTCGATGCACCTCATCGCCGTGTTCCGCAGAACGCTACGCGCCGCGCACGGAATCACTGTGGGACGTGTCCACCAGCCTAGAAGAATCGACGTTCGAGCTCGGCCGACGAGCTGCAGCCACCAAACACGAGTCGATCAGGTGAGTGACACGCTGAAAATTCGCGCGGATTCTGCCCCCGAGGAACTTGGAGAGTCATTTCAGCCCCGCGAAACCCGACGAATCTAGAGACAATTTTGGGAGATCAGCTGGAAAAAGTTGATATATATATATATATATATAGTAACCCAATCGTATACTTGTATATAAAGTTCGATATATTTTTTGAAATTTGTTTTTTTTTACCATATTCATCGCGTAATATATTTGCTTCGTGCTAGCGGAATTTTTTTTTTTTTTTTTTACTTAATTAAATCATATATATTTGGCTGTGACATTCTACGGTTGACAGATCGATTTAACGTGGTTTTGACATTTAAAACGTCGAAGTCGTTA